TAACTAACACTATTGTTAGTTTTATTAATATTTTTAATGGTGCTCGACGTGTTTATTTTCTCCAGATCTTTCTCAGAGATAAAATAATAGACTATGTTTTTACAGTGCTTTAAAGTTTACAAATAGCATGCGTACACTTGATCTTATTTAATGCAATAGATCTGCAAAGTATGGTAGGTAATGATTGTACAAGCAATGTAACAAAGGTTCAGAAAGGTTAAGCAACTTGGCCAAGTTTCTATAAACAGTAAATGGTCGAGCTAGGCCATCAACAGAAGTTCTCTTACTGTGCACTTTCCACAGGGAGAATCTGTGTATATGATGCCTGAAATGATCCTTAGGCAAAATTATGAAATCAAAAGTAATTTACCAGGCTTCCCTGGTGGTGCAGTGGTTGAGAGTCTGCCTGCCGATGCAAGGGACACGGGTTCGTGCCCCGGTCCGGGGAGATCCCACATGCCGCGGAGCGGCTGGGTCCGTGAGCCATGGCCGCTGAGCCTGCGTGTCCGGAGCCTGTGCTCCGCAACGGGAGAGGCCACGGCATTGGGAGGCCCGTGTACTGCACACATACACACAAAAAAGTAATTTACCAGTGTCCTTGTAGGGGGAATTGTGCTTGTCCATTTTTCTTATTTAGACCATCAGATTTTTCATGAGGTCTTGCCACTAACAAATACCTTTGTTTTCTTTCCAAAGTTGTCAGCAGCTTTTATAATTATTTTATTATAAGTACACAGTTTACACTGGTATATATTTATTAATTAGAAAATTACCTTTTCAGATCAGTTTATAGTGAGAATGATTATGCTTACTGTCACTTAGACAAGCGGTGAATAAAAAAGAATCAATTAACAAAAAAAGTAGCTTTCCAGAACTAGGTGTGAGGGAAGATACATGGACAAGGTAACCAACAATATGTAGCCAGGCATGATATGTAACAAATTAATATATAAAGAGCAGTTCAGTTTTTCACTCATTTATTTATATAAAATACATGCCATCTGCTTTTCTAGACACTGCAGATTATAACAAGGGCAGATAAACAGTAACCCTATAATAAAACAAATAACATAATGTCAAGGTGTGCTAAGTGCTTTGCATAAACAAAAAACAAAGAAAGGGGATAGAGAATAATGGAGTAGGCAGGGATTTTGTTTCACGTAGGGTTGCCAGGAATGATCTTTCTGAAGAGGCCATACTTGAATAGAAACCTGAATAAAGTGAGCGAGTAAGCTATAACCCCTGGGGAAACTGTTGCAAGCAACAGGAGCTATAAGTGCAAAGGCCCTGAGGCAGGCATATGCTTTGTTTTTCTTCTTTCACTCACACATAATCGATCTTTATCAGATTATATATTATTGTCTGTTTCTCTAGTTATAATGCCCATGCTTGGTTCTAGAAACAGTGGGGAGGCTCATGAGCTTGGGGGTAGTCAGAGAGCTGGGAAGTGATAGGAGATGGAGCCAGGACCAGTTCATGGACTACCAGTCGTAGGCTGTGATGGACTTTGGATTTTATTCTGAGATGACTGGGGAAGCTGGTGGTGATGGTGGATGGAGGGCATGAGCTACTTTAGGCTTTGTTATTTTATTTTTAATCCAACTTTTAATTTTGAACATTTTCAGATCTTTAGAAAAGTTGAAAGACTTTTTAAAATAAATAGTCTTCACCTAGCTTGTTCACTAATTAATATTTCACCACATTTACTCCCTTTTTCTTTTTTTTCTCAACCATTTTAAAGTCAGTTGCAGACATCATGACACTTTACACCTAAATATTTCATCATATATTCCAAAATACGATGATCCCACCCAGGAAATGTTGATATATTATATCATATTATGTATGAGTATTTAAATATTAACATATATTATTGAAATATATTACTATGTCACAAATAGTAATATATTACATTTCTCAAATTGTCCCAATGATATTCTTTACAGCTACTTAAAAAAAATTCTCGGGTTCAATCAAGGGTTTCATCTTGCATTAGCAGCCATGCCTCTGCTTCTCTTCTAATTTAGAATTGTCCTCTGTAAACAGCTCAGTGGGAGGTGTGTTTGAGAAGGGAGATTGGGGTCAGATAAGGGAGACTTTAGGCGCAAAGCTAGTGATTTGGGGCCAAAGGGAGCCATTGAAAGTTTGTGGCAGTGACCTGTTGAAAGCAGTATTTTAGGACGGTTCATCCAGCTGCTGGCTGCAGAATGGATTTACACTGAGAAAGCCCTCACGGTAGAAACGAGTAGGAAGGTGGCATTTGCTTTCATCCTCATCCTCTCTTACCGCCACCCTCTCCTCCTTCCTTCCTCTGGTTTCCAAAGCAAAGGTGCTGTCTCTGACTCTCCTCTTCCGCTCTGGCTTTACCTCTATCCTCTGTTTCTCTTCCTCTTGCGTCCTCCTGTCTGACTCCCCTCCACCACTCTTGCCTTCAGATGCCTCACCTAAATTGTGGAGCGAGTGCAGGGGCACTTGGGGTCCTTGTCAGGAAGAGGAGGCTCCACGATACAGTGGGGGAGGGGCACACCTGGCCTGGATTTTCTCAAATTAGAACAGTTCTTTCCCAGAACTTGGAGGGTGAAAAGGCAAATCCCAGACACAGGAGTCTGCAGTTTTAACCCAGCTTCCTGCCTCTGCAAAGTCCTTCCTTCCTTTCCCCAACTGTTCCTGTAGCTCCTTCCTACAACCAGGAATCTAGAGAGTAAGAAAGCTTCAGACTTAGGGCTTCCCTGGTGGCACAGTAGTTGAGAGTCCGCCTGCCGATGCAGGGGACGCGGGTTTGTGCCCCGGCCCGGGGAGATCCCACATGCCGCGGAGCGGCTGGGCCCGTGAGCCATGGCCGCTGAGCCTGCGCGTCCGGAGCCTGTGCTCTGCAGCGGGAGAGGCCATGGCGGTGGGAGGCCCGCGTACCGCAAAAAAAAAGAAAGAAAAAAGAAAGCTTCAGACTTAGATGCTGTCCTCCTGAGCATGGACCCGTGGTCCTCCTGGGTCCTTGGCAGCCATGCCTGTGCTTCCAAGTAGCAGTTTCCTTATGGGGTCAAGGGGTGCTGGCCACTGCATCTGAGGGCAGCCACTGCATTTGAGGGCAGGAGAGAAAGCCTGGCCTACAAGTGGGGTCCTAGGTAGGCACGGTGACCAGGACTTCCAGGAGAGCCCTTGCTTCTGTGGTCCGGTCCCCGGTCCTGAGAATTCATCCAGGCTGGGAGTATAGCCCTCGTTGGTGGAGCGACAACACGGCTAATGAGTCTTGAGCAGGTGGGGCTTTGTGGGAGCCCCTCAAAGCCCACCATGTAAACTGGCTACTCAGGTGTTTCTCATTATGCTACCCGTCCTTCCAAAAGTTGGTAAATGTTTCACCACTCTCTCACCAGAACAAAAACAAAAGCAAAAGCCCTTATGTGTAGCTTGCTGATTTCTGTGGTGTAAATACTCCCTCCTTGGCCAAGTTCAAACTACCAATGCGACGTCACTACAACCAGAACTGAGAAGCGATGGGCACAGCTGACTCTCACCAGCTGCTGTGAACTGGCCCAGTGCACCTTTTCTTTCTGCCTCTGCAAAGTACCTGGGACCCTTTTCTTTAGGGCATCTCTGGAGATCCTGGAGCCTCTTACCATGTTTGAGCACACATAGAAACCACAGATGAATCTTCTAGGCTGCCCCTGGGAATGGCTTGTGCTTTGGGACTACGTTGCTGAAGTTGGAGGGCTTCCTGTTTTCAATTTGGAGATCCCACCTCAAGCTGTATCTGCTCATTGGAATGTGTGTGCTGATCGCCATCATAAATGGTTACTGGGTCTGCGGTCCTGAAGGGAGAGCCCTGGTTGTCAGCTTCAGCAATATGATGAGAATTAGCTAAATACAAAGGTGAAGGAGAAAAGCTGGCTGATGGTCAAAGTTCTCCTTCTTGGTGAAGGGCCACTTGCACAAATCATCTCCCTGAAAAAATGTGGGGGAATTTTGGAGCGTGCACAGGCTTTGAAATTAGGCAGTTATGATTTAAATCTTTCCTGGACCTTGGGTAATCGTCACTCTCTTTGAGTTCAGTTCTCACATCTCCCATGTAAGATCATGGTGCAGATCATGTGAGATAATGTACATAATGTATACAAGGTGCCTAGCACAGTGTCTGGCCCAGAATAGGTACTTCATTCTTGATACCCCCAATGTAAAGAGCAACGGCCGTGTATGTGCAAGGAAGCAACCCCTAAGTTATCCTCAACCAGGAACCTGAGAGGAACCAGACTGGAAAAGGTGGATTGAGGAAGGCCCGGCCTGACAGATGCTGGGAGGACAGAGGACTAGATGCAACCGAGCAGAGAGACCATGACAGTCATGAAGCCAGGGCTTATTAGTCACCACTGCTCCAGCTGGTGGCCTTGCCTTCCTCCATAACTCAGTGGTGGCGTTAGTAGCATTAGATGGTTGATTTCTGAGGGGACATTGAGGAGGAAAATCCCCATAAGTTGCTTTGTTTGCCAAGCAAAATATAAATGAAGAGCCCTGCACATGGCACGGGTAATTAGCTGCGGATGCACTGGATGGAATTTCCTACGATCTTAGAGTCTAGAGAAGCTAATCGTGGTCTAGGCCCCCTCTTCGATGCTCTGGGACTGAAATGGAATTGCTATTGGAGCAGCTTGCTGGCTTAGAATGAAATATGACATTTCATAAGCCAAGCAAAACAGAAAGAGCAGACGAAGAACTAGAGAAAGCCAAAAGGGTAGGCAGGAAAACATCCCTTGAAATACGAGCCAGGGAGGGTTAGGTCTGAAAGGACAGAAAATCTGAGCCCCAGAGAGCCTGGATGTTCTGTTATGAGCCAATTAGTAACACAAGCAACGAGGCTGCCGACCTGGTGAGGGACACCCATGAATAATGGAAGCAGGTGCAGAAACAAAAGCACCTTTCCTCCCAGTGCATTCCTGCGTGATCTAGTGTGTCTGGGACCAGATCTCAGGACACATCCCCGAGGTCACCCCTCCAGGCATGGCAGCTGGATGCTAACCACGCACCCTGTTGAGTTCAGCATCCTGCTGGTTCATATCGCCTCCAAGTGCCTCTACTACAACCTGCTGATCCGGGAGCTTTGCTCCCTTATAATGAAGGATGTGGACATGGTGTGGGATGGGCGGTGGAGCACAGGGAAACCGAATTTGTAGAACGATACCCTCTTCTTACCTCAGATAGACTGGCGAGTCCCTGAGTCCCAGCTGCAGACCAGTAATAAAGGAAAGCCAACGGGTTAAGAAGAAAGAAGAAAAGGCAGGCAGGGTGAGTTAGGAAATTCTCTGGTTCGATGTGGGAGGCTGAGTGAAGAGAGCCACATTCTCCATCAGCGTCCCGGGTTCTTGGTACTGCTCGGCCCTGGCTCGCCTTGCTAACTAGGGCAAGTCCCTCCACAGTCTTGAGGCTTTAGTTTCCATATTAATAAAATGGTGATGGTGGTAGCCCCATATGACTTCCAAGTTCCTATCTAGTCCCCTAATTCCCTTGTTTTACCAAGGCCAGTGCTAAGGCTAGCTTCTGAGGAATGCAGGGGTGGGTTGGAGTCCAAACTGGGCAGTTGGCTAATGTGGGTGGGATACACTGGCATCACCACCTCCATCATCCAATGCTTGCCATTCTCTTGTTAGTTCCAATGGAGAAGGGCTCTAGTCTGGGACGGTCAGTACATGGCGCTCACATTCTGTTGGCCACACCATATGCCAATGGCATATGTTGCTAAATAAACCTTGGTTTCCCACTGCATCTGGGTTACGTGTCAGGATGCTTAACTGCATCAGAGGTGGCATTGAGATGAGTACTATGCCTGCACATGGTGGCCATCATTTTATATTTTGACTGGGCAAAGGGGACCTTGAGAAGAGTTTAGCTTGGGAAGGACTTCTGATCCTCAGAGACACCCAAAGATGGGTTTTCACACATGCTAAAAATTATCCTTCTCATGGGACGCTGACCCACTTATCAGCTAACTCCTTGCTCGTGAGGCCAGTCCATCCTGTTACAATGTTGCTTAGCTTGTAACATGGAAATGATAATATTCCAGGGAAGTGCTTGGAAAAATACCAAGTGCTATGCAACTATGGGGTTATTAATACTGTTGCTATTATACATTTTGATTGATGAGATTTTGATAAACGGAAAGGCTGCCCTCCTTCCCCCGCCCCCAGCCACAAGACCTGTTCCCAAAAGTACATCTCAGTCCACACTCCAAAGACATTTCTTGGAACCACATCTTAGTGCGGTTCATCCAATAAAAAGCTCCTTTGGCTCCAAGTGGGCGTGAACGTTCATCACAACATTTGCCATCAATAAAAAACCAATTCTTTCCATATGAAAAGCATTACTGCTGTCGAATGGTTATTGAGTGATGATACCTGAATGATGGGAATACAGGAACGGGGAAACGTACAAAGGGAAACTTCACAGGGACGCCAAACTGTAAAGATAGAAACGCTGATATCAGAGGGAATTAGTTAAACTGAGCAGAGGACGTTTGCCTTCACCAAGTGGGAAGGATGAGTGGAGCAGGAGAGATGGGAGGTGGAGAGAAACAGGTAGACATGAGAGAAGCAGTGCTGCCTGGCTGATGACTCACAGAGGAGGGTGACACACAGAGAGTCACCGCGACAGCCCCCAGCTGTGTATGGCCAGCACTCTCAGTCCAGGAGTTTGCCAAAAATTATCTCCTGGAAAATTCTGCCACGACAGCCATTGCCTTTATAATTAGAGCTCCCTTGGCCGCACAGGAGCCCTGGAGCTCGTCTGAGCCGCATCCATGCCTGGGGGGTGGCATCTGGGGCCAGAACACCAGACTAGCCACCTCCGTGGCCCCTGAGGAAGGTCAACCTCTTTCAGAAACCCAGCCTGGCTGTCCACCCGCCTTCCTGGCTGGGACCTCCTGCCGGCTCCTTAATGCGGCTCTTCCTTCTGCCACCTTCCCATCCATCTTCTGGTTCTGCCACAGATGTTTACATGCTACCACTTAACCCTGTGGCCGTTCCTGGCTGACCAGAGGGAATGTGGGTCAGGGTGGTGGGCGAAGAATATGGCTCTGAAGAAGAGCTGTGGTTGAGCGTGGTTCTATCCACTGCCTGGTGGGCCTGGGGCAAGTGGCTTATTAACTTTGCAGCCTCAGTTGCTTCATCTGTTAAATGGGAATGATCCCTCCCTCGTGCAGAGGAGCAGATGAGATCAAATAGTGAATGTCCTGTGTAAAGAGCTATGCATTTGTGGGGTAGGGAGACCACAGTCCTGGTTTGCCTGGGACCGTTTAGGACTGGGGTCCTGTTGAAATCAGTAATGGGACCCCATTTCATTCACAGAAGTGTCCTGGTTTGGGTGATAAGTCATTATCACCCTGGGCATTGTAATTACTGACAGATGGAAATCTGGAGGGACTAAATGAGACTGGGAACTCTCCCCAAAGACCCCCAGGTCCCTAGAATCCTTGTCCCTTCCTCCTCTGTTGCAGAGACGAACTTCATGTCTGTCAGCCCCGATTCATTTTCAAAATAAAAATTCTTCAGGTAGTCCGCTAAAAGAAATAACAACCCTGATTTAATTTCAGCAACAGCTTTGGAATGAAAAGACTACTAATTACTCCAATTAACCAAGCACATTAAGTGCGTGTGTTCAAACAAATATTAAAATACCGTCAGTCTTGGTCCTCAAGTCCCCGAAATGCTGGAATGTGTAAACATTTAGTGGAAGAAACTGTGACTTCAGGGAAAATACAAACATAGCAGCCTGTTTGTTTGCGCGACTGCCTACTTGTGGAGAAACAACCAAGAGATGCGGAAGGACACGAGGGTGTCTCCCCCACTTTATGTTTCCAATTATTGCCCGGAGAAGACAGAACAAAGAAGCTCCTATTTATAGCCAAAGTCTAAAGAGGCGGGAGGAAAAGAAGCTTAATCATGAGAAAACACACTCCACTATTGGCATTAATAAAATAAAATCAAACTGTAGTTTATCAGAAGAACCAGCTCTCTGTAGGGAAAAGAAATAACTCCTTCCACGTCCTGACTCCGTGCACAGGTTGTCTGAAACCACTTTACTTACCAGTGATGAGAGCCAGGGCGGGCTTCAGCCTCTGGGGGACACTGGCTTTGGGGTGGGAGCCAGATCTGAAGCAGTGAGGGCACCAAAACTTCAGCTCGTTCCTCTGTACCTGTGACCAGCGAGGCCCATGATGGCCACGCTTCTTTGAGTGCACTGCTAGCCCTTGGGTCGTTTCTTAGGGCTCAGACCTCTGGACATGCTATGAGGGAGCAGGGAACGAAGCTCAGGGACAGTGTTAGCTTCTCGGAAAGGATTCTGGTTAATAATGTCCAAATTGCCTCGAGGTTCAGAATCCCTTCTTGTTTTGGAATAGATAACATGGTGGCACCCTCCTTGGCATGCGAGAGCTACTATCCCAACCCTAGGAGAGGGCACCTGCCTTGTATTATAGTTTGTGCTCTTTCCTTCCCTCCCTCGACCCCCTTTCCCCTCTCATTCGTTCACTCTTTCCCTTATTCATTATTTACTCAACAGATACTTTGAGTTTTTTAGAACTAAAATAATGTTTGACCTGTGCTCAATGCTGTGGTGAAGAATCACAGTTTCTTGCCTCAAACATCTTACGATCCCATTGCAGAGACAAGACTTCCCCTCCTGATGTCTTTATTTTGATCACTGATAGCACACTTTACATAATAGCCTAGGCGTATATTTTCTGAATTCATGAAGATTCCATTTCTTTCATTCCCGCTATTTCAGTCCTATTGATTCTACCCTTTATTTTTCCTGTCTCCTCTTCCCTTTACGTTTCTCCTGGCACTTCTCCAGAAATAGAAGGGCTCTCTTTATCATCTCTTTTTAAACCACTAACTAAAAAAATAAGTGTTAAATTAATACCTTGGCCAAACCTCTACCACCTGATTTCTATATCATTGTCCCATTTAACCCTTATAACAAACCTTTAGATGTCTGTTACTGCCATCCTTATTTACAGACGAGGAAACTTGGGCTCAGAGACACTCAGTGACTTTCTCAGGTCACACAAGTGAAGTTCTAGAAGGCCTGGGAACGGCCAGTTTGGATACCATTCTGGAGGCACCAGAAATGATGATAAATGTGCTTCCATTTTCAGGTAATTTGTTCCTTGCCTTTTGAGGCTTAGAGTCTCCTATCCAACCACGGGATAACGTGGCTCTAGGAAGAACCTGGTCTAGGGCATGGAGAGCGGACCTGCCCGTCCCATATCAGGACCTGTGACATGGTTGAGGTAGTGTCCTCTCCTTTTCGACAATTTATCTGGAATTCCAAGATCCTTCCAGATCCTCCAGTGTTGTGGGCTGGGATTAGGGGAGCTTTCAGGAGAATAGCAAATGAGCATTTTTTTTTTCCCCATTCTCATCCAATTGGCTTGTGTTTTGGAGGCTCTGAAGGCTACAGTAGTGTTTGGTCCTCTGTTATGCCAAATTATTTCCAGGAAAGATATCAAGGAGGGGTTTACAGTACAACTGGGGGTCACTGCAAACACTCCAGAATGTCCAATAAGTAAATCTTTTGCTCTCCAAATAGAGAGTCTGAAGCTGGCTTAGGGTAGAAGTGACCCCTGCAGGGGCAGACTAGAACAAGCATTGTCATCAACATTCATTAAATAATTTTTGCCTCTTCCTTCATCTTCAAGAAGTCAGTTGCTCTCACTACCCCTGACCTGCAGAAACAAGAACAGTCAACAAAGACCATCACTTCTTTCCTTTTAGATTTTTCCTTTCTTTCCATGCCACATTGATCACACTCGTCCAGACAATCATTTTAGTTGTTCCAACTTATTTCTCTGATTCTAGCTTTTGTCTCCCGATCTCTCAATCCATCTTCTAGTCTATTCCCCGAATAATAACCCATTCTCAAGTCCCCCTGACTCAAAATTCTACAGTACCCCATTGCCTATTTTTGAGTTTTTTTAAAATCACAAAAATAACACTTACTGTCCCAAATTCAAATAATACAAACAGAAGTGTATAAAAGAAAATATCTCCTATCTATCTATCTATCTATCATTATCATCTATCTTTCTATCATCAAACCAAAGGATTGGTCTTTTGAGATTCTTTCTTTTAGTCTT